CAGGCGCCAGGAGGCGCGCAACCCTGATAGTTGCAGGAACAGCAAAAGGAGGAGGACGAGGCCAAAGAGCACGAGCAGCAGCAGCCGCAGCAGTTGTTGTGGTTGATTGGTTGGTTGCTTGGTTGGTTGGTTGGTTGGTTGGCAGGCAGGCAGGCAGGCAGGCAGGCAGGCAGGCAAGCAGGCAGGTAAGGTAGGCATGTATGTAATGATCAATGTTCTAGATTCTATATATATATATATGTATATACATATATATATATATATGTGTGTGTGTGTGTATATATATATATAAACAAACACACACGCACACATACGCATGCCTGTCAAGTTCCCTGTCGCTTCAGCAGGGTTTATGGATCTTCCAAATGCACGTAAATGTCGCCTCCCCATCGACTGAAGTGCCTATGTACATGTCCCATGTCGACGACTGTTCATGTATGACTGCGTCCTTCTTTTGTACCCAAACCCTACACACCTCACCACCTGTCTGTAGTATATGCGATAACGGCCTTATGTTAAGAATTGGTTGTGTTACTAATTATTCCGACGTCTAGAGTCTTCATTATCTTAGCAGCTCAGGATCCGCAGAAGTCAAGCAGCATGTTGTCGGCATCCAAGCATGCACACGTCACGTTGCTTCGTCGAGCCGAGTCGTCCGAATTCAGCCTGTCATGGTCTGAGTATGTCTGTATGACACACCCACGAACCCTCAAGCACGGAGTCCCAAATACAGCTTAAATTCCTAAGTCCTGAAGCCCTCTAATCGGCCCTGGGCCCCTAAACCCTGAACCCCAAAAGTACAACCTAAAACCCTGAACCCTAAACCCCTGAACCCTAAACCCCACACCCTAAACCCAGATCCTCAAGCCCTCGACGGCCTCTTGAGCACGGCAGTGCGGAATTCCGGCGCCAGGGCCCGGAAGTTCGTCTGCAGCCGGTCGTCCAAGGGAAGGATCCTATCCACCTCCGTCTTGCAAAGGGCCCTTCTACTGGTACTGGTAGCACCCTTTTGAAGGGTTTTGGGTTTTGGGTATAGTACCCTTAGTGGGGCCCTTATGGCAGGCTATTGTTGAGGAACTGCAGGGCTTCGGGAAAGGTGCGGGATTTTGTTGTTCGGTGCTTTGAAATCAGGAGCTCTAGAGTTTTGAGCTTTTGGGGGCTGGCGTGTAGAGGCTTTCGACCGGGTATATAGGGCGCCCCAAACAAATCGACCCTCAAGGCTCTTCGACACCACAAAGCTTTCAATGTGCATACTTGGACCCTCCAGGGCTCGGCGGGTTGGGGACTTCAAGGGCTTCGCGGGTTGGGGGTTGCTGGTTTCTAGCATTTCGGGCCGCGGGTGGGGGACTAGGGTAGTAAGGGTTTAGGCTGCCGGAGGAAGCGGAGCCCAAAAGCAGCTTGGACTAGAGCCACGGAACAGGGTTTAGGTGTGCGTCCGAGGTTTTGCCTGCGAGCACTAGCTGGAAGGAGTGTTCGGATCGCACAGTTGAGCTTTCCTGGAGTCCCGTTCATCAGGCCCCGTGTGCCCCAAATCCAGGATAGGATCGATGCCGCCTTGGAGAGATAGCACCACTGCGGGATCAAGTGACAGTCTTCCACGTCGGACTGCGCTGTGTAGCGCTGCAGCACGGAACGAACCCAGCCATTGAACATTTCCTGGAGAGGTCGGCTGAGCGGAAAGCAACTCTCCCACAAGCATGCTAAACCAACAGGTCAGGACATAATTTACTTCTACAACTCAAGACAAATTAATCACTGACAGCTGATGTTGCCGTGCCACACAGGTGGGCGGGAAGGTCTTGACGACGCCATAGTCTTTGTAGTAAATGTCAAACCAAGCCTGGTTCTTGGCCCAAGCAAACTCCGAGACCAGTCGCTCACACGGCTCCCTCACGATTGCGAAGCTGTTTCGGACATGGTGCTTTGGAGGGTTGTGCTTCATGCAAGCGAACTGCACCTCGTCGTAGCGTCCAGAGTCAGTATAGGAAGGGCCCAATGCATCCCAGATTGTCGTCCCTGCTGTCTTGGGGACATGCACGAAGACCCACGAGGACGTATTCTCCTCTGCCTTGCGAATCAGCGGAGCTGCTACTCCTGTTGCTGCTGCTGCTGCCGCCTCACCACCTTGAACAGAAGCTGCAGGGGGATTGAGCAAAAGCTATGGTATGTGGTCGATAACAGTCGGAGAATCAAACTGCGTTGTCATACTGGCGACGTACCCCAAAATAGCAGCAATGATGAGAATGGGTATGATAGTACAACAAGACAAGCCATCACCAACAGCACCAGCACCACTGTCACCTTCACCACCACCAGCAAACAGCAGCAACAGAAGAAACAACATCGGCTGCAGCACCACCACCAATGCCGCCACCGCCACGATGAATGCATTGCCACAAAGGCGACGACGATGAACAACGATGACGACGCCATGAAGTAACCGGAATAGCAACAGCCACGGCAAATAAACACCAACATTGCTCAGACTACGACTACGCATAGTCACAATAACACACAACTGCAGTCGGATGTCTTACGAACCAATTCACATTGCCAAAGAAGGCGACACATGTCATCTTGCAAACCTGTATTCTCTGCTAGATATGCAGCAGGCATAGTTCATAGTCTTTGTAAGACGTCGTCTACTTCTACACCAACTGCGGATAGATACTAGCATACTTGTCTAGATCGATGTGTGTCCCCTCGGTTCCTCACACATGAAGGCAGGCTGCGGTCATCCACTTGCACGGAAACGCCGAGGCAAGTCTGCCTGGGACGAGCTCTTGGGATTCTGGGAACTGAGGCCGCAGCTAGCCAGTTTTCGGGATCCCCTGGTTCCAGGAAACATAGATGGATACATAGATGATTATAGATAGAATTAGAACTACAGAATGGTCTGACTTTCTGAAGTCAGCATAGTCTCTAAGCCCAGTTCGACATGTCCCAAACGATAGCCGAGTAGCACCTGGAGGATCGAAAGCAGCCATGACACGCGCCGTGCCATGAAAGGAGGCCAGCAGAGGCGAGGGCTCAAGTGCCAGGGAGAAGCATTTGAAGAGCGCCGCCGACAAATCAGGTATGTGTGTGTGTGTATAAAAATATATTGTGTATGTATGTAAGTAAGTAAGTATGTATGTATAATTATAAAGTATATAATTCTAGTCGAAAAGAAAGTAGACTTTCCGCTAGGGGTATCGTAACGGCTACCCGCTCTGCAACACTTGTTGTGTCGTCCTTCGGCTTAGCACGACATGCACAAAGGGTTTGCAAACTAACACGCGCTGAGCCCACCGGCAGCATTGATAAAGGATACCACGAGGGTTTGACATCATGGTGGCGCCCAAACACTTCACGACAATGACACTGGTACACCACCGAGAGCCGAAACAAGCCCAGCAGCCTTCCAAATACAGACTAGGCCATCACAAGTGTGGGTAGGCTATCCGTTTTGCAGTTTCAACCGTTTTGACATTCAAACATCGCATAATCCAATCGATTCACTATCAACTGTCACGGTCGCAATGGGGGCCTGAAGACAAGTGGTGCTACCGCGCGGGGCACCAAAGAGGCTGCTGCTGCACTTGGCGGGGCGTTTCCTTGTCGCTGGCGGAGAACCTGTGGGCAGGTCCCTGTGGGAAACATACAGCCCTGCCACAAAATCCTACCCCCGGCAGAGATAAGAGAAAGGCGTAACTTTTAACTTGGATTCTCTTCCGCCGTCTACAGTCAGACTCCCGGCTGCAAACTCTCAACTACTGTTAACGATAGTCTGCTATTGGGCTGCGGCTACGACCACGACCACGACTACTGCCACACCTACTCCTGCTCCTGCTCGTACTACTGCTGCTACTACTACTACTACTACCACCACCACCATCACTACAACCATAACGATGCCACCGCCAGCATAAAACATCATCTCAGCTTGGACTGGAAATATGACGGGCCCTCATGTAGCCCAAAAACTACAGCCGAGACAAACTGAGGACCCCTATAAGCCCTAAGCCTTATAAGCCCTGTATCAATACAGCAGGGCGGCTGGAGCTGGTAGGTGGTCGAAGGCAAGGGAAGCTTTACATGAACCTCGGGAGAGGGCAAGGCGCAGCGGCATCTTCGGGCTTAGTGGCACTGGCCTGTCTGAATCGGATTTCTTGACGTCCTTAGAGGTAAACCTCCCTACCAACCGAGCACTGAAGGTGCGGGCCATTGCAGGTAATCTGCGTCTCACACCTCTGACGGCTCTTTCTTGATGATTAATGATTAATGGTAAAATGTCGTCCCCTAAACCCTAAACCCGGCTTTGGCCTGGCGGGCACCACAACTACGCCCAGGACTAACTTAGGGTTTGCCTGGAGGGTCATACCCTACCCCGTTTCAAAGATGCCTTGTTTTATGGTTAGGATCTGCTACATAGAAAAGTAGGTACCCAAAAAAAGGGTTAGGGTATGAGCCTACAGGTAGGGTTCAGGGCTAACGACTTGTCAGGCCTACCTATTCCCAAACCCTCCAAAACCCTCTAAAGCACTCCACACCCAATATCAGAATCCCGAAAAAATCCTAGATCATGTAAACAACCCGTTCCCACGCATTGAGGCCTAGATCTGAACCTATCAGGACGGAATCGGGCTCAAACTTCTTGGAGCGGTAGGCCACTGCCAAGCTTGGTGATAGGGTTGTTGAGGACCCTAAGCCCCAAAGTTCATGTAGGGGCCTTAATGATTAATAGAAACAATTTGAATAGGGTTCTGGGCTCGTTTAGAGTAAATTTACAATAAGGAGCCCGAAAGAATTCTATAGGCAAGTATTTAGGCGAACAGTAGGGTTTGGGGTTTCAGGTCTCCGGTCTGGGGCCAGGGCTTTTCTGAGAGGGGCGCAGGTGATGCTAGCCTAATTACGGTAAGAGGAGGGTTTAGGGCTTAGGGTTCTGCTGTTGGGGTTTAGGGTTTAGGGTTCTACTGTTGGGGTTTAGGATTTAGGGCTTTTAGGGTTTAGGGTTCTACTGTTGGGGCATGGCGGAAGGTGCGGGTAGACTCAACTGCAGCAGTGCAGGGATTCTACCCGAAGAGTATTCTGTGTGGTATGCGCGACCCTAAGCCCCAAACTCACAATGACCCCATAAACCTAGGGTCAGGGTTTGGTGAGGGTATGATGTGGTCAGTACTGTTGTAGAGAGACTATGAGAGGCAGTTAGCACTAGTTGTTGCGAAGATTTCTTTATCAAGGGATCTTAATACTACTTCTTCAGACAGTTGCTTTTGGGGCGGTGGTGCTTGTTCATCAGAGCCCTACTTAGTTGCCCAGTGTCTCCGGGGACCTACAAGTTAACCTTTCGGATTATAATGGGGGGTTCTGTTGCCCCAAGCATAGGCGAAAGGATACCGACTCTACTAAGCATACTTGGACAGTTCTCTACATTAGGGTCCCTTTTTCGTCCCCAATATAGTACGGCACCCCTATAAAAAGGACCCTAAAAGGAACCCGAATTTAGAGAACTACCCATTTGGGGATCCGAGGTGACGGCCAGGGAAGTCCGGTCGGCGAGGTGGATGACTTGGCACGCGCGCGGCACCTTTATGCGGATCTTCAGCGGGCTTGAGTTCCCCCCGAGGTTTGGGGCTTGTCGTGTTTGATGTGCTTATTTGGGAGGTGGAGGAGTAGGGCTTCAGGTCTGTATGGAGCTTTCAACAAGGCGTAACGCTTGGGCTTTAAAGCGTTTGTGGCATTAGTGCTTCGGAAATGTGGTTGGAAGGCTGTGATGCTTCGCGGCCTCCTTCCCAGGTGGGAAGTTAGCAGAAGACCTCGAGAGATACAGTGAATTGAAGGCACCCTTGCTTAAACAGTCTGCTTTGAAGGGCTCCTAGACCAAACCAACGCGAAGACTCGCGGGCACTTCGCTTGTGAGCTGGAGGAACCCCGGGCAAAAACCAGGGGTTTATACTGGAAGTTTGTGGGAAGCTCCAGGACGGTCAAGGAACTACTAAACCCTAAACCCTAAACACTTTAAAGTTTGCGGTCTCGAGCCAAGGTTTACAGTTTACACTGGACACATCCTCGCATTTCAGTGCCTTCCCGAGTTTTGTAGCAAATGCCCATATAATCGCCTACTGTCTACCTTGACTCTGCCAACTTCGAAAATCCTGAACCCTAAAAGCAAAAAAGCGTTAAGCCTCGTACCCCTGGACTTCATAGAACCATCGAAGCCATGTTAGAACCCTTAGAAGAATCCCTGAAGCCTTAACCCAAACACAATTTCCCAAGCGAGCGCAGAAAGCCCAGCTTCATAACGATAAAACATAAAATACGTGTAATCTAAGGGTTCAGGCGTTAGAGTCGTTATTGTTGTTTTGTTACATTCTAAAGGATAAGCAGAAACTTACGACTATTATTATCATTCTTGATACGATCATATATCACTATCAACCTTGCTATGGCCCCATATGACCAGGGTTCACCTTAACGCACAAAGCCCAGCTTCTGAGGCGCGAACCTGGCTGTAGTCACCATCGAACCTTTGGAATGCTTTAGGGGTTTAGGGCTCGTGTGGTTAGCGGCTTTGGGGTTTAAAAGGGCTTTGGGGCTTCAGACAGTTCCAACCCTCTTCTTTCTACCATACAGAAGGCTGCGGAGTCGGGGCTTGTCTGGGTTGTTGAGGTGTGGGGCCCTTTCTTTATTATCGAATGTTAGATAGGTTTGAAGGTTGAGGCTTACGCTTCCATGCTTGGGTAAGGGACTTTTCAGAAGGAAGGTTCAAGCACACTCAAGTGGTTGGAACGTGCCCTGTACTGTACCGTGACGGCATGAAGACACTCATGTTCTGGCTTTCTAACCGTTGCTATGGCACCCCGAAGCTCGACCGAAATCAACGAAAGCCCAATCCACTGTATAAAAAACAACCTTAAAACCCATTCAAACCGTCCTAAACCCTACAAGCCCGATCCACTCTAAATCCAAAATCCCCAGAAGGCCCTGAGCAAGCAGTACTCGGGATCCCTGGCCGCTTTGCCGAAAGCACCGGCCAAAGCGTCACGGCGTTGCAGCAGAGGGTGAAGATCAGGTCGTTACTGCCAGGTGGGACGTTCGGGGATGGAGGATTCCGCTTCAGGGGCTTTCAAGGTTTTTATTTAAGGGTTTAAGGGCTATAGGGTTTAGAATATGTAAATTGAACTTTCAAGTTTGCGGCTTCGAGCTCAGAGCTCAGGGTTACGGGTGGGTTGGGTCTCGGCTTAGAGTTGTGTATGTTTGGGTGCACGTGTTTGTGTTCAAGTGTGCGCGCGCGGTTTGTTTTCTGATTGTCGAGTGCCTTCCTGTGTCGCCGCCTTCTTTGTTTTGAATATGCCATGGCGTAAGGTCTCGTAGGGTGTGCGGCAGCGGTGACTGGTGGAGGAGGTTCTCAATGTTTTCGGTTGGTTTAAAGCGGCTTGACATGCAAAGCCTATGTAGGCCGTGTGCACCTGTTTTCACTGGATGCAGTTCGGGAGAAGTCTCCAGAACTCCATGTTCCAGGAATCATAGTGGATGCAGGAACTCCTTCCGAAATGGTCGAAACACGGTTCAATGCGGGCTTCGGCCATGGAGGCTAAAGCTCGCGCCCGAACCTTTTCCCTACACTTAGGTCCTAAACCAAACGCACCTTAGGCCATCCCGAAACCGAAACCCTAACACTAAGCTCAAGCCTCTGCAAATCTTAGGCCGCTCTTCCGCAGCATCGTCAATGGTCACCCTCGCCGATCGACTAATTACTTCTGTGACATGAACCAGCACCATCTGCCTCAGCGGAAATCCTAGAAAGCTCGAACACCAAGTGTCGAATTTAACAGCCCCCGAGATTAAAAAACAAACTCTCTCTGTCTCTCTCTCTCTCTATATATATATATATTATATATATATTATATATATAATATATATATATAATATATATATATATATATTATATCTATATAATAGTTGTGGCTCGGAAATCCAAAGTTATTCCACATTGGTGAGTTGGACCCGCGGCCTCCAATC